GAGCGGCTTGAAAAGTTATGCTGAAGGCGGAATACATCAAGGATTAGCGTGTCGTTCATTGGGTGTCTTGAATAGGAAGACGAAGTTGGCGTGGATATGAGGTACGAGTGATACGCGGTATCTAGGTAAGGTAGGTCGTTGCTTTTTGTATAGATCTGACGTGGTGGGGGGCGGGAGGAGTAGGTCGTGATGTGGAGAGAAAATTCTCCAAATCCCGGCGGTCGTCTTTATGCTAACAACCCAAGGGGTTTGTGTTTGTAGGTACCTAGGTGGAAAGAAGCTTCCCTACCTCCGACAGGTATGCCTTATGTGTAGGCACTCAAAGAAGTGGCTGCTAAAAAAATGTTTAATAAAAATAATAAAAATAATAAAAATAATAATAAAAAAATAAAAAAATAAAAAAATAAAAAGCTATCTACTAAGGTACCTACGTAGTAGAACTGCTGTTCTTTCTACACGGCATCAGCCCGTCCATTGGTCGGTCTATGGGGGCTAGAACGGTCGATCGTGGGCCTAAAACACGAAGCCCATTTATCAGGCGCCGAGCCGCCCGTGTGTTATCACGAATACTGTCATGGTGATGCGAGGAAATGTGCTTTCTATAAATGTTTCTCAACGGCAGGAAGACTGGGCGTTGGTATTTTGTGGCCTGGAGCTCCTCTGTCGCGCTGTTGAATGGGCACACCCACCACTGAGTTGCCTAAGGACCGGGTGATTCTCGGGCCTGATACGGAGACCCCTGCTTGTGCATAGCCCACTGCCCGCTGTCACTCATAAGTGGTGAAGAATTTCACTCAGGTTGGTTGGGATACTTCTGACCAGCCACAGCAGGGCGCAGCACGCCGTGAAAATGTTCCATCTCATCGCTGATAAGGCTCCAGGCTCCCTCCATGTCCTTTCATTGATATGAAATAAAAGGTGACGCCTTTCCTATTCCACATGCTCCTCCCTACGACTTATTTCACGGTAGTACCGAGACACTGTTTCCTTGCCAAAGTAGCGCTTCAGAAACAGGAAATTTCAGACATGGATGCCGTGACTAAAGAACAAGGCACTGATATCAGGGTGGAATCGGCTACAGGCGCCCGGTCAGCTTCAATGGCTATGTCAACATACAAAAAGACCTCAAAGCCCTACCCGTACTACAACTACGAGCTCCTTGAGCCACAATCCATCAGACTTCTCAGACTGCACAGCGACTCCTCTGAGCAAGACGCTGCCGCCAACCACACTGCAGACATTCGCGTTTCATTGAAACACTTTCCCCTCAGCTCCTGCCCTCAGTTTGCTGCCCTATCTTACACTTGGGGTGACCCAACCATTGAGCCCGATCCCCGTTATGCGATTTTTACAAAGGTGGATCGCTGCTTTCCAATTGAGTGCGATGGTAGACTTCTTCTAGGCACACGCAATCTTCGCGATGCTCTGCGACGAATTCGACGAGCTCAAGGGCGATGTCCTTCGACAATGGGGATAGGAACCGTGACTTCAGAATATTATAACGATCATGACGAGGATGAAGAATGTCGTCCTACTTCTGAGTATTATTGGATTGATGCCTTATGCATCGATCAAGACGATATCCTTGAGTAAGTCTCCCGGTTCGTCGTTGGCCCTGCTCCTTGCTAGGCATTCTATTTGTACAAGCTTGTTAGGCAACGGAACTAATAGTACTAGACGGCAAAACCAAGTCACTTTGATGAGCCAGATATATACCCAAGCCCGCAGGTGTATAATCTGGCTCGGGGATAGTGATGGCGACGCAGCTCCTACTCTTCAGCTTTTGATCAGATTACGCAATATCGCGATAGACAACCTTGGAAGCAAAGCCAGGGCGCGTGGTGATCATGTAGCCGACAAATTTCTGGCGAAAGTTATCTCCCTCACGTGGAGCGAGAAGAGGTCTATTTGCGACTTCTTTCTTCGGACTTGGTTTTCTCGTTTGTGGATACTGCAGGAAGCTGTTCTTTCCCACCGACAGGTCCTTCTGTGGGGATCAACATCTATGGCCTTTCATATAGTCCTGGATTTAGGAACATGGCTCTTGGGCACCCAAGCTTTCACCTTATTCCTTAACTGCTTCATCGATGAGGAGGAGTCTGAAGAGAATCGTCGCAAGATCATAGGCGTCACACACGCGGTATCCATGCTCGCTTTTGCAAGTCAAGTCAAGGGGCACTTGCAGCAAGGTAAAGGGCACGTGGAAATCGACAAGGTACTTATCGTTGCGATGTCCGCGGAGGCTACCGATCAAAGGGACAAAGTGTATGGCATATTAGGGTTATGTCCAGACATGGTCGATGGTTTAACCCAAGAACCTGGTATAGTCGTTGACTACTCGGCACCTGAGGCCAAAGTCTTCCAGAACGCCTGTATCGCTATTGCAAGACGGCGCTCTAGTCTCGGCTTTTTGGCGTTAGTTGGTAGATCCAAAAACCGTGCCGATCTACCCTCGTGGTGTCCAGACTTGAGCGGGGGGAGCGGAATGTCGTCAGGCCAAGACGAATGGTATTCCACAGGGAACTTGAGGAAAGGATATTCAACTAATAACATAACCCACGACACTGGTAGCACGGCTGTTCTAGGTGTTGAGGGGTTTCGGTTTGACTCCTTATCCAGGGTATGCGGATCGGTGCGGTCTAGCAGTCGAGTCGGAGGCCTAGTCTTGGGGCTCGCGGAGGTCATCACGCTTGTTTTGAATCTCTCCTCACCGACCACTTCTCGTGTCGACACTCTATGGAGAGGCCTTCTAAAAGGAAGGGTGCCGGTAAACAGCGAGTTGCCCTGCCCCCCGGCTGTTGGCCTCCTATTCCCCATGATTGTTTGGACGGCGCTGTGGGCTGAGTTTTATGACAGTGAATCCGACTCAATGGAACCGATTTCGTTGCCGACCACTTATGAACTGAATCTTCTAGTGACAGCGATACGCGAATTGGCCATCCTGGAGCCCGAGAATGCGATGTTTCTCCCAAACACCGCAGACTTCACATATATTTCCCGGCTTTTGGAGGACGTAGATGGACCCTCTGTCATAGACTCTCTGAGGTCGTTCCTTCACGGTCCTGTCGATGCCGAGCTATATTCGCCACAGCGAATCCTACGGCGTGCGCAGGAAGTCGGGCTTGAGCAAGAACTGCTGGACTTCTTGTGCTGGACTCCCGAAAAGGCTTGGCAAGCAAAGAAGGCAGACATAGTACGGATGTTTGGGTCGTCTTTCTCCGATCTCGGAATTCGGTTACAAGACTCTTCAGAAAAATTCTTCACGACAGCGGAATCGCAGCTACTTGGAATGAGCAATTTTGAGATTAGGTTGGACTATGAAGTGTGGTTTCTTCGTGGTTTCTCGGCACCTGTATTGCTCAAACCGCGACCAGACGGGGGGTATGCGTTTTGTGGTACGCCTTATATTCAAGGATTGATGCGCGGAGAGCGATTTGAAAGTCCAGGCCAGTGGGAAAGTAAGAGTCATCGAATTTCATTAGTATAAGTAATATATTAGTACTATATAGGTATACAGAGTATTAATTCATGCTATCATAAACATACCAGGCTATAGCCACTGGTTCTTGATCACATAACACAATGTGGAATGCGCAGCATGAACATATCTCGAGATGCCCTCACGCGTGCCAGCGCGAGCTTAAGCAACACTATAGCCGCGAACGTCAGCTTGACCAACACACCACCAACATGTCGTTGGACACCACCTCGCCTGCCAGTAGGCCCCACGCCCTGAACGATGACTCAAGCAGAGCGGACGCCTTGGCCAACATCCTGGGCGCCGCTGCGGTCACGGCCCCGGCCAGTGACGAGAGCAGCCCCGAGGAGGAGGACGACGACCAAGAGCCTGTTGTGGCCAAGCCCAAGCCCCAGAAGGCGGACATGGCCCCCGCCATGCCACTAGCCAGGGCCGCAAGGTCGACCGAGGAGAAGTTCGTGGAGTTGAAGGCGAAGTCTGTGGGCTTCGCTGCTGTTGGGGGCAGGAATATAGGCGTGGGTGCAAATGAGCCCCAGTGGACGGCCGCGTAGCTGAATGTGATCTCGTCCGTGTGCTCGAGGTCGTGTGCAGGACACCAGGGGCAGCATCCCAGAACCGCACCGGCACTTTGTCAAGTAGACGCTTGAGGGGCCCATTGTGGCCATGGCGGCATCCATGCTTCCTAGGTAGTCTAGAGATGAGGATGATGAAGCTTGGGGACGGGAATGTGTGCCCCGAGGCTGGGCAAGAGCAAGGCGTACTCCGACATCATCTGCATAGCCAAGGATGGGACTTGGGTCCTTAATTAGTGGACATCGATGAGCGTTGCCCTGGAGTTGGTCCCAGAGAGGCTCCTGAATAAGCCTGACAGGATGATCGGAGGGAGGCCCGAGAGGGGGGTCGGGGAGCTCTTTGCGAGGTTTGGCTTGTCTAAGGAGTCATTTGCGTCCATGTTCGAGGCCGCAGAGCAGAATGTGCTGAGGGTTATGGCCGCACTCAAGTGGACCAACGCGGCCTGGAGCGTGAACGCGAAGCGGCCCTCCTCACGCACATCGATGAGAACCTGCTCATGGCCATATGCATGATTGCGGTAAAGTCCCGATGTGATTCGGCACCTTCATAATCTTGGTATTGTGTGACATTAAGGTTGTGAGCGGTGTCTCGACGCCTATCTTGTCCGTGATCTCGCTTAGCATCAGTGCCACCCGCAGCATAGCTGGAAAAAGGCAGGATGTAAAGGCCTATTAGGGGACTTTTTAATTCCATGATGAAATCCTGGCAGAGGTAGCGGCACTCCGATGGAGTTGTGCATATATTGCTCAAATTCAAGCGGTTTTTATTCAAGTGCACCCGATGTAACGGCTAGCGTGTAGAGGGGAGCTCTGTTCATGGGGGCTGGTGGTGCATATGCTTAACCAAGACCAAAAAATGTCAAGACTAGGCTCCGCCACGGCGGGACCTTTGTCGCAGCCCCTCATGTACCCCATTAACAAGCTCCCCGTCAGCCAACAACAACCAACCTGGTCTGGTGGTCTAGTGGTATGATTGTCGCTTCGGGAGATCCGCCAGTTTCCAAGCTGGCTCCAATGTGACAGGTCCCGGGTTCAATCCCCGGCCAGACCCCTTCTTTTTGACGTTTTTTTGGGTGTGGGAGAAGTGGTTTTGTTGTTCTTGGTGGTGGCTGTGGTTGGGCGGGCGCGTGGTGGTGGCGCCGGTACGTACCAGCGGTATTGCAGTGCACTTCTTTTTCTTCCTATTTTTTTTTACCTTTCTATGGGAGTTGATTTCAATGAACAGGGGGCTCCATGTGACGTCGCTTATGAGATAACACTGCCTGATATGGGCTGGAGAGGAGGAGTGGTGGTGGAATGTAATAAATTTATTTACCTTTACATCTACGCGGTGACTGAGTCTGTTTTGTTTAACTGTTAACTACATCAGTTAGAACACAGGGAAACATGCAAGACAATACCAAACAAGCCACATGATATGGAATATGCCCAATCTGTAAGTCAAATCCAGCAATAGACACGCTCATGTGCTAGTATCGGGTAGGTCCTGGCACCAAGGCGGCAACATCCGTTACAGGATGGGCTCGACCACAATCCGCTGCCCACCTAGAATCTCTTAGCTCCATTTTCATTAATGGTGCAAAGCGGAGAAAATACTGTAGTTCAATTGGCTAGATTCTAAAAAGGACCGGAATACAAGCGATGCATTTGGGCAGTACTTCTGAGCATTCTGGTGGTTTTTTGTGCCAGCCGGTGAAAGGCACAATGGCTTGTAGGTTCAGCGGCTTACAGTGGCTTCGGGTGCCTAATTTGGCGGCTAGCGGCGCTGAATTAGAACGTGGGCCTTGTAGCCCTCTCTAACTGGCAACTAAACGGTGAATGCAATCAGAATACGTTACTTACTCTTTCCAGCTTCATTCACTTGTTCCTTGGAGACGGCAAGCCAACTCGACATCCCAACGCACCACGACGGCAAAGGAGCCTCGATACCGCTAGCGAATGAGGCTCTGGCCCTTCTACCCCTTAAAGGCAGCTTGACGAGGATCTCATTGTTTCCCCCTCCTGTTTACGACTGCATACCTCTTTTCATCACCATAAGATGGAATCCAAGTACGAAAACCCTGCTTACCCCTACATCCTCGCCACAACTGATCCCTTCATATAGTAGCCGTCATTTCTGGGATCTTGAAGAGGCTTCCTGCATCACAATCGGCAAAATTGCAGAGAAATGGCCTTCTTCCCAAGACGAAGATGTTGTCTGGCACGCCTGGGGGGCGATTCCCCGTGTGTACTTTCCCTCACGATCCACGGGCGGTCTGAAATACGCGGTCAACCGGCAGGCGCACTGGGGCCTGCTGTCAGAGTCTCTGAGTGGTCGAGAGCCTGATAACATCGCCGTCCGACTCTGCCACATCGAGCAACCGCAGCAGGGCATGCCCCCGTCGAGTTACCAGCGTGACGTCCTCTGGATCGAGTGCAGGGCGTCGAGCAATGACACACCCGCTGGGTGGCATGCCATCCTAACCGAAGCGGTAGAACAGCTAGATGTTGTGCATTCGCCGCGCAAAGTCTATCTAATCGTGGCCGTCGGCCTCAAATGGTTGCCGTTTCTATGGGATCCAGTGGCGTCAATCCTCGACCCGAGCCCGTTGGTCATACTGGGGGCCAGCCTCCAAGATACCTGGGAGGTAGATCCCCGCGTTCATGTGATTGATCCGGGGGCTTTACCGGGCCAAAGGCATGTTGAAGCACAAAACGGGTCACTGACTGTGAACACGCAGTCAGCGTATTCGCTTGACTACTGGACGTTGGATCAGGGCGGGAACCCAGCAAACTTGCGCGACATGCTGCTGCTCGAGACCTTTTTTGCCCTCATCCGAACTACGCAATTCCAGTCAACCAACCCGGATGAGCTGCAGCATTGTTGAAGGTGGAAGGAAGCTGTGTGAAGCTGTGTGCAGCTTATCCTTCAGTAAGGGCTCAGAGTGGCAGAAAAAGGCGAACCTGGTTGGTGGGCTCCAAGTATGTGCGTCGGCTTCTTCCGCCAGCAATCATCTCATGTAACCTTCTGCCCTTTTCTCCTTGCACACTCTCTTCAATCTGCATACTCCCTCCTCCTACCAACACCATCCACAAGGGCACACCCCCAGCACAGCCAATGTTGTCCTCTGGCTATCACATCACCTACTGGGTGATTGCCTTGGTGGCAGTAGCAGCCCATCATACCATCAGATGCATAATCGGCGCCGCGGCTGAAACTTTCTTCCATACTCTGGCATTTCCATCGTTGGCGGCTGCTCTATACATTATATGGTGCGGTCCCCGTGAGAAACCAGCCTCACTGCTTCAAAATGCAGTCCATCAGACAACTGCCGGCTTTCTTCTTATTTCACTAGGATCAATTACGCAACATATGCCTCCTAGTCAAGACTTATCAGACTTGAGGTACCTTTTCCATGCCTGTCTGGCGTTTAACGCAGCTGGAACACTCGAAGCCATCAGGCAGAATGTGAGTTCTCTATTCAGTAACCCAGATGCAATGCTTTCCATTGCCCATCTAACAGTGGATAGAGACGCGACATTGATCCAGCATCAGTCATGCAACTTCTGGAGGGGCCGCGTACCAAACTTGCACGCCTTACTTGCAGAGGATGTATAGAGCACAGTACTGCTTGTCTCGCCCTGCTTGCTCTATTTCGTTTGTTGATGTGCGGTATTGATCTGGCTCTCCATGCCATCTACGCATCTGACTTGAACTGCTGGTTCATCTGGTCAGAGAGCGTTTCTCACATGCAGCATTCCTTTGGAAGCTTCGTGTTACTCACGTTTGTCATCGCGGCGCTAGTGGACCTGGCAGAGACGGTAAAGATGATATATCTTCTATCCTCATCACTCTGGGACTAACATGCCTCTGCTGCACAGATCTTCTTCATAATCTGTCGTTGTGTGCTTCCGGGCTATCCTCGACTCGTAACAGCGCCAGAGCCCCTGCTTTGCCCAACATGGGGTTACGTGTTGCCTGCGCTCGGAGCTATCAAGACTATCTGTTTCTTGGGGGCATGTTTCTCCTGCTATTGGATCGACAAATGGAAGGACGGCTGGAAATAGCATCGTGGCATGTATTAATGTCACATATATCGTACTCAAATGGAGAAATCAATACATTAAAGCCAACTAGCTGCCTAGGCTTTTCTAAGGGCTTATCCTATAGATATTATCTGTGACAAACTGGCGCCTATAAGTGCGTCCGATTCCACACTGCAGTAGCAACCTGCAAGGACAGCCATCATCCCCCATGTCATTGTAATTAAGAGAAATATTTGATGCTTTAATCAGATAGATGCCTTAGACCTACGCCCCTAGTGGAGAGGTAAGATTTGTTTAAGACGCCGGGCCCTCTAAATCTAATGCTGGCAAAACCTCGGTGACGACCAGCGAACACCAGCTGTTGTATGTTTTTTTGTTCTATCTTTGATGTTCAAAGCTTCATTATTTTTGCCGTCATGTATAAACTTGAGAGACCTCTATCTCCTATGCTCCTGGAAGCGGATTTATGCCTAGATCCGTTTAGCTGGCTTCAATGTGACAGGTCCAGGGCAATCCCCGGCCAGACTCCTCCTTTTGGCGTTTTCTTTTTTTGCGTGTAGTGGTTTTGTTGTTTTGGTGGCCATGGTTTTGGGCGCGTGGTTGGTGGTGGCGGCCGGCGTACAGTACCTAGACTGTACCTCTCTTCTTCTTCGTCTTGTTCTTCTCTCTCTATGGGAATTTATAACTTAGGGCATTGTTTTTTAATCACATCAGTTAGAGTACAGGGAAACAATGCAAGGCGATACCAAATAAGCCATTCGATTGAGGCTTGACCTTGTGGCCCTATGGGGTGTTCGTGTATAGGCTAGCAATTACGTGACATAGGTGACCGTTCCCTCCACTTGACGAACAATTGGACACTGCCCATCTGACTCCCATCTGACTATTAAACTTAAAACTCAGGCGGGTTGCTTGTCTGGAAAGGCGTGTACTGTATGTATATTATATGTGTGTTCCATGTCATTTATGTCGTGTATGTTTTGTTTGTCTTGTTTGTCTTGTTTGTCTTGTTTGTCTTGTTTGTCTTGTTTGTCTTGTTTGTCTTTGTGTTTATCTTTATCTTTATCCTTGTCTCCTCCTTCCTTTTGCCTATATTTGCCTTGCTTATTCTACTTTTATACCACTCCTATATAAACCTTTTATTCTCTATATTATATAATGAGGAAAAGAGTGTACAGTGTAGGGTATAAGCAGTAGAGAGCAAATAAACAGTAGAGGTGGTGCCTAGTGCCCCGGCAACCAATGCAGTCATAAACAGTAGAGAAGAACAACAACGAGGCCATCGTCAGGCTGCCCTTGCGTACAGGGTAGCCGAGTGGCCGAGCCACAGGTGGCTGCGACTTCGTCACAAGCCACACTGACTGACCATGCGCAGGCATGTGATGCCATGGGATATCGAGATACACGTACACGTACCGGGGGGAGGGCTGGGGCGGGATCGGGCTCTGACGGTGCCGGGAAGCTTCGGTTGACTCATCGAATAAGGCTGCGTTGCACTGTGCCCAGATGGAGAGCGCCACGATGCTAATGGAAAGCTTCGACGAGGCTGGAAAAGCCTGTGACATCGCTCCAGGCTGCCAACAGAGAAAAGCTTGTTCTGCAGCCCACGGCTCGAGAGAGATGAATTTCTCATCCCAATCCCATTTTTATACCTATAGCTGCATTTACTAGTAGTATCGACAACCCTTTGTAGTTATGTAGTGTGTTGCGATACGTTAGGACATCGAGTTGGCTTGCTGTCTCGCACGTGAATGAAGTTGTTTCGTGTGGGTCGCGACCTGTTTTGGTCCCACTTTGATCATCCCATCTGACGAGTTGCTGCCTTCGTGCCAGGGACCTACCTGCTACTGTTATCCGTTGATCTGGAATATAGGTATCTACTGATAGTGTATACTTTACTGGGTACTTAATACTACATATAAAGTGCAAGGGAAGCTGAGTCGCCCTCTAGCAAGTAGCTCTTACGGGCTGATATCCCTGTCTTATACTTCACTGCTCATTTTCTGCAGAAGATGCTTCTGTGCC